CTGGTTGTTCACGTTCTGCAGATGTAGATGCCACTGGTTCTTCACGTTCTGCAGATGTAGATGCCACTGGTTCTTCACGTTCTCCAGATGTAGATGCCACTGGTTGTTCACGTTCTGCAGATGTAGATGCCACTGGTTGTTCACGTTCTGTAGATGTAGATGCCACTGGTTCTTCACGTTCTCCAGATGTAGATGCCACTGGTTGTTCACATTCTGCAGATGTAGATGCCACTGGTTGTTCACGTTCTGTAGATGTAGATGCCATTGGTTGTTCACGTTCTGCAGATGTAGATGCCACTGGTTGTTCATGTTCTGCAGATGTAGATGCCACTGGTTCTTCACGTTCTGCAGATGTAGATGCCACTGGTTGTTCACGTTCTGCAGATGTAGATGCCACTGGTTCTTCACGTTCTGCAGATGTAGATGCCACTGGTTCTTCACGTTCTCCAGATGTAGATGCCACTGGTTGTTCACGTTCTGCAGATGTAGATGCCATTGGTTGTTCACGTTCTGCAGATGTAGATGCCACTGGTTCTTCACATTCTGCAGATGTATATGATACTGGTTCTTCACGTTCTGCAGATGTAGATGCCATTGGTTGTTCACGTTCTGCAGATGTAGATGCCACTGGTTCTTCACGTTCTGCAGATGTAGATGCCACTGGTTCTTCACGTTCTCCAGATGTAGATGCCACTGGTTGTTCACGTTCTGCAGATGTAGATGCCACTGGTTGTTCACGTTCTGTAGATGTAGATGCCACTGGTTCTTCACGTTCTCCAGATGTAGATGCCACTGGTTCTTCACGTTCTGCAGATGTAGATGCCACTGGTTGTTCACATTCTGCAGATGTAGATGCCACTGGTTGTTCATGTTCTGCAGATGTAGATGCCACTGGTTCTTCACGTTCTGCAGATGTAGATGCCACTGGTTGTTCATGTTCTGCAGATGTAGATGCCACTGGTTCTTCACGTTCTCTAGATGCAGATGCCACTGGTTGTTCACGTTTTGTAGATGTAGATGCCACTGGTTCTTCACGTTCTGCAGATGTAGATGCCACTGGTTCTTCACGTTCTGCAGATGTAGATGCCACTGGTTGTTCACGTTCTGCAGATGTAGATGCCACTGGTTCTTCACGTTCTACAGATGTAGATGCCACTGGTTCTTCACGTTCTCCAGATGTAGATGCCATTGGTTCTTCACGTTCTGCAGATGTAGATGCCACTGGTTGTTCACATTCTGCAGAAGCAGATGCCACTGGTTCTTCACGTTCTGCAGATGTAGATGCCACTGGTTCTTCACGTTCTGCAGATGTAGATGCCACTGGTTCTTCACGTTCTCCAGATGTAGATGCCACTGGTTCTTCACGTTCTCCAGATGTAGATGCCACCACCACTGCCATCTATTGTGCGGCGGTTGAACTTACGACTCTCCGTCCGAACAGGCAACTGGAAATACGGACATGTTTGTTCGTATCTCTAAAAGCCCGTAAGTCCAGGAGTCCCAATAGTAATTTGTGAAGGCGCTGCCTATGGTTGCCAACTCTTGACCGAAGTAATTCAGGAAAATTTGTATTATGCCTTTTTTTTCTTCTTAAAATATCCCATAATTAAAATATTGCTTTCAAATTGTCACCAGGAGGCCGATGCCAATTCAGGTAGAGAATCTCAGGAAATCCGGGAGGGTTGGCAACCCTAACAGTGACGCTTTTTTTTCCGTGGGCTGAGGTTGAGTTGCATGTATGTTGAACTTCTTTCGCACCATACGTAGCCAATCATGATAATCGGAGGTGGCGGGCGCGGGCGGGGGGGGGATAACAAACTAAACACAAAAAGCAGTTATAAATAAATTACTTTTCAATGTACTGTCGATTTAAAAGTTAAAAGCTTCCAGTGGCTTTCTAATGTCGGAAGGAAGGAGCGTTCCAGACGGCCGCAGAAGCGCATCCGAAAGCGCCGCGCGATGCGGTGACTGCCGTCTTTGTTCGACGGTTCACCAAAAGCCGCTGCGAGGATGAGAGCTGAGCGAGAGACGCGTGGGACGCCGTTGGCCCGCGCCGTTTCCGGCGAGCCCTGGTAGAAGGGCGCCCCTTCGTTTGTTTCACGAGCGCCGACGTTCCGGGAGACGCGCCTCGTGTATTTGACCGCACATCAGCGGATGCCGCACGCGCAACGCTGAATGAGTGTGGAGGTCGCTCACTCTCCTCCTCCTGTGCCCACCGCAGTCTGGAACTCTCAATCCCACGCACTCTCCTACCTCTCCCCTCTCATCCCACTTTGCTCCCCTCCACGCACTCTCCTACCTCTCCCCTCTCATTCCACTTTACTCCCCTCCACGCAACCCTTCTATCTCTCCCCTCTCATCATCCCATCTTGCCGTACTGCCGGAGATGACTGGCAGTGCGGCAAGCGGATTTAATACATCTGACAGAAGTTTTGAGTGTCCCCCCCCCTCGTAAAAAGTGGATGGTTTTCTCTCTCTCTCTAAGTTCTCCCATTTCCTTCCATGTGGAGGCAACCTTTCATACGTGTTGCGGGACCATACTTACAGGGACAGCTCACGGCGATGATCGTGCTAGAAAAAAAAGAGCAAAAGACGAAGATTATGACAGTGGCGATGAGTACGCGAGCAGTTGTAACAGCTGCAATGGTGACGACGTTTGGGACGTTTCAGATATTGACGATGGCGGTGGCGTTGTCGATTGAGTGCAGGAGCATATTGCCAAGAGTTTCGAAGGATTGCAGGAGAGAACAAAATCCATCGATGACCACCAGAAGGACTTCGAGACGAGGAAGCGAATCATCGTGGTGAGTGTGCACACAACAAACCCGCACTGCATCCTCATCGTCGTGGCCAGTCCGACGGTCATGACATCGGCCGTGGTCTATCCACTGCTGGGTGATGAATTGGCAAGTTTTGTTTGCGTGACAAACCTGACTAATTGGCTGTGTCGGGTGGCGGCGGTTTTAACGACACATTTATGCGTACGCGATTTACCCCAAAAACCTCTATTATGGACTGGATGAGATATCCAGAATGCTGGAAACCAGCAGCGAAACGTCGTAATCCGCTTGTTAAATGTGAGTGGATCGCTGTTCAGCACACCGGGGGTGCTGAAACATTAAAGATTGGCCCGTTCGTTCACGTGACGACCGTATTGATTTGTGTGTGCCGGACGGAGGAGGCTGTATGACACACCACTGCCTTCGTACACACGCGGCAATATGGCCCAAACATCTGTGATGGATCGCTACGTCCGAAAATTTCATGTATTTCCCTGGTCTATGCGTTGCTACGTCTGTGGCGGTCGCCCAAGCTAATTATGATAATGCATCTCACCGCGATTCAATGGGAACATTTGCAGATCTCGTTCCAATTTATGGTCCGTGTGTCATCGCCGCCGAGTACGCAGTGACTGAAAACGTGACTCTCGCACCGCTGTGGTGATAATGCACTTCGTGCGAGTGAAATGTGTAAGCTCAGCTGCAAAAGCAGTATTCGTTAAAAAGAAACATCTTTACACAATCATTGTGCGTGGGTGGTACACAGGCATGAACAGATAAATTAAAACTGTCAGTTCAACCACGCGTAATTTCACACACTTTGATTCAAAATTATCATTAACTTCAGTGCACGCCGCCTCTCAGACAAGCTTTGCCCACAAATTAATTAGTATTCCGCTAGAATTCTTGGCCGGTGAACACACCGCGAATGACTCATCGCCTGGGCTAAGGGTAAACGCGCAGCCCCCTGCAAATGTATTTCTCATGCCACTTCTGGCAGTAGTAGCAGCAGCAGCAACAACAATGGGCCCTAGACAAATAACACATGCGAGAGGGTGCTTTGACGAAAAGCTTTTAAAGAGACGGTGGGCCTACTAGCCACACAATACAGGTGTTGTGGGTTAGATCGCGTAAATTTAAATGTGTCGTTAAATCTGCCACCACCCGACACAACTAATTAGTAAGGTTTGTCACGTATACAGAACAATGCCAATGCGTTACTAGTACTGCTGTACTAGTACAGCACACCAACAGAAACACAGAGACCCATATACTCACACAGAGACCCATAGACTCACACAGAGACCCATAGACCCACACAGAGATCCATAGGCTCACACAGAGACCCATAGACTCACACAGACACCCATAGTCTTATACATAGACCCATTGACTAACACAGATGGTGATGATGGTGGTGGTGGTGGTGATCATGATGGTGATGGTGGAGATGATGTTGATGATGGTAATGATGAAGGTGATGATAATGGTGATGATGTTGATAATGATGGTGATGATGATGGTGATGATGGTGGTGGTGATTATGGTGGTGGTAATGATAATGACGGTGGTGATGATAATTGTATTGATGATGGCAATGATGGTGACGATGATTGCGGTGATGATGGTGACGCCGATCGTGGCGGCGATGATGGTGATCATGGTGACGATGACCGCGCAGACCTTCACGGAGCGGCTCTGCCAAGAGCTCAACAACGGCTACAACGAAATGGAACAGCTCCTGGCGCAGGACCGCGCGGCCGCTCACGAGCTGTTGCACGCGGAGATGCAGCAGGCGCTGCAGCGGATCGAGCTGCAGCAGCTCGATCTGCTGGCGCAGGAGACGGGAATCATCGAGGCGCAGCAGCGCTGGACGAGCCTGGAGCAGGAGGCGTCGCACGAGGTGAGACGGGGGTGGGTGGCCGGGATCGGGCAGGACTCCACGCGCTCCCCCCACTCTCCTCACTCTCACTTTTCTCTGCTCCCATTCGAAGCGTTCTCCTCTCTCTGTCTCTCTCACTCACTCACTCACTTCTCTGTGCTCCACTTATCCCTCTCTCTCTCTTTTTTTTTATTGATCAGAGGATACAAGGAGATGCTCGGTGTAGTCGGCACTTCGCTTCGTTAATCGTTTCGGTTTTTTTTGTTTGTTTTTTTCAATGCTTTGCTTTATGTGCTCTCCCCCCCCCCCCCCCCCCCCCTCTTATTTTAATGAAAGATTTCACGAAAGATTCACGAAAGATGTATTTCTCTGCTCACTTCTCCCTGCTCCCCTTCCACGTACTCTCCTACCTCTACCTCCCTGTCACTTCACTCGCTCCCGAAAAGAGAGCCTGGAGGCTCGGTGAGATGTTCATGGGTGAATAAGACGAAGATTAATAATAATAATAAGCGACATCAGACGAAGATTTATAATAATTATAATGAGCGGTTGAGCGTCGGCCGTTGTGAGCTTGCGGTGCAGTAAAACCGTGAATCTGTCAAAGCGTGCGTCTGTTCCCACGCCAATTTCACCCTCATTGGGCATCATCACTACCGCAGTTGGCACAGCAATCCGATAACGATTGCGGTCACCACGTGGGGCATGAGGAGGCCGTGTGCACGCCTACCGACGTTGACTAACGACGCTTCGTTTTTTGCTTCGCAGGATGCGGAGGAGATGAGAAAATGGTGAGTGCATGTGCGTGTGTGCACGCGTTTGTGTGTGTGTGTGCAGTGGGGGGGGGGGGGGGGGGAGCGGTGGTGCAGCGGTTAGCGCAGCGCTAACCGCTGCACCACCGCTCCCCCCCCTCCCCCAGCCGAGTTCGTCTCCCGCTCACGGCCAGCAACGTCGGTGACAAATATCTGAGCCGGTCCTGGATCTCTCGCTAGGTCGACTCAGCCTCAAACGAGCAGCTGGTGTAGCGGTGTGTAGGGGAGACAAAGGCAGTCGGGCGTGGTGCTGGCCACCCAACTCGTGTGCCGTACCGGCCTTCAAAAGTGCTACTCGCTAACAGCACTTGCCCCAACAGTCTTTCAAGTCTATATGAGTGATCTTTGTCTTTGTGTCTGTGTGAGGTTTTAGTCTATGTCTTAGTATAGGTATCGGTGTTTGTCTGTGGGTCTCTATGTCTGTAGATCTCTAAGTGAGTCTACGGGTCTTTGTGTGAGTTTATGGGTCTCTGTGTAAGTCTATGAATCTCTGTGCGAGTCTATGGGTCTCTGTGCGAGTCTGTGGGCCTCTGCGTGAGTCTGTGGGTCTTTGTCTTAGTCTCTTGGGTCTCTGTGTGAGTCTATGGATCTCCGTGTGAGCCTAGGGGTCTCTGTGTTAGTCTATGGGTCTCTGTGTGAGTCTATTGGTCTCTATGTGAGTCTATGGGTGAGTTTATGGGTCTCTCTGTAAGTCTATGGGTCTCCGTGTGAGTCTAGGGTCTCTGTGTGAGTCTATGGGTCTCCGTGTGAATCTAGGGTCTCTGTGTGAGTCTATGTGTCTCTGTTTGAGTCTATGGGTGAGTCTATGGGTCTTTGAATGAGTCTATGGGTCACCCTGTGAGTCTATGGGTCTCTGTGTCAGTCTAGGGTCTCTGTGTGAGTCTATGTGTCTCTGTTTGAGTCTATGGGTGAGTCTATGCGTCTTTGAATGAGTCTAAGGGTCTCCGTGTGAGCGAGTGCGTAGCTGCGTGTTGTACACGTGCGGTCGAGTCCCTGGCTTGAAGGTAGTGGCGGTTCGGTGCCTCCGACACGGCCCTGGGTCACCTCTAACGTCTAACCCCCCCCCCTCTCTCTGCCCCCCCCCCCCCCCCCCACCTCCCACCTTGTCGACAGCATCGCGGATCTGGAACGACGGCCGACGTTGATCGGAGACAAAGTCCACGTCGACGAGCGGCGTCTCCAGAATATGCTCGTTGGCGTCAACAACATCCAGAACCAGTTGAAGAGGCTGCTGCCCAGACCTTGGGCTTGTGAGTTCAACACCCGCACCCCGTTGGCTGACACGGGAACGACTCACTCACTCACTGGCACGGCTACTCACTCACTCACTGGCACGGCTTCTCACTCACTCACTGGCACGGGAACGACTCACTCACTCACTGGCACGACTACTCACTCACTGGCACGGCTTCTCACTCACTCACTGGCACGGCTTCTCACTCACTCACTGGCACGGCTTCTCACTCACTCAATGGCACGATTTCTCACTCACTCACTGGCACGGCTTCTCACTCACTCACTGGCACGGCTTCTCACTCACTCACTGGCACGGCTTCTCACTCACTCACTGGCACGGCTCTTCACTCACTCACTGGCACGGCTTCTCACTCACTCACTGGCACGGCTCTTCACTCACTGGCACGGCTTCTCACTCACTCACTGGCACGGCTTCTCACTCACTCACTGGCACGGCTTCTCACTCACTCACTGGCACGGCTCTTCACTCACTCACTGGCACGGCTTCTCACTCACTCACTGGCACGGCTTCTCATTCACTCACTGGCACGGGAACGACTCACTCACTCACTCACTGGCACGGCTTCTCACTCACTCACTGGCACGGCTTCTCACTCACTCACTGGCAAGGCTTCTCACTCACTCACTGGCACGGCTTCTCACTCACTCACTCACTGGCACGGCTTCTCACTCACTACCCACCGCGAGCAACCCGGCAGACGGTGACAACAACGAACTCACAGCCACAACTTGCTTTTAATTCTCTTTTATACTTAGACTGTATATAATAGTTGCTGTGTATCTTGTGCGTGTGTGTGTGTAATGACGTAACGTTGGCGCTTCGGGTGGCAGATTTGTGTCAGGAAGGCACCACCACGCGTTTGAGCAACAAAAATAACAACCGCTCTGATTTGAGAGAGTTTGGTCGGCCAGTGGATAAGATCATGGCTGCTGCTGCTGCTGATCATGATGATGGTGCGCACGCGTACGTGTGCGTACCTACCGTGTGTGTACCTTAACGTGCACGTGGCCTGGCACAAGCGCCGTGGTGACCTCACGGGCCACTTAGTGGCGAATGGAGGTTGTTGTTGTTGTTGTGGTGCCTAAGCTAACAAGCTCCTGCCCCCGAACGAGTCCTGTTCAGAGCGATCCGGCGTGGAGGGGGGACAATCTCACTGTTTTCGCACACGTGCGCGTGGGATCTCCAGACGCGAGCAACTTGACACTCGATCCGGACACGGCCAACGTCGACCTCGTGCTGTCCAGCGACCTCCTCACGGTGTCCAACCGCAGATCGGCGACGTCCGTGTCCGACTGCTTGTCCACATCGCCGATCCCCACGCCCGTCGATGGTCAGTGCGCTACGGTGGCTAGGAGATGTCAACTACCTCGCCTGGTGTGCAGGAGGTCGTGGGTTCCATGCCGAACCTGACGGTGCCTGCTGTACATTTGGAGTTTGCGTGTCTCTCTCTCATCATCATCATCAGTGGCTAGGAGATGTTAACTACCTCGCCTGGTGTGCAGGAGGTCGTGGGTTCCATGCCGACCCTGACGGTGCCTGCTGTACATTTGGAGTTTGCGTGTCTCTCTCTCATCATCATCATCATCAGTGGCTAGGAGATGTTCACTACCTCGCCTGGTGTGCAGGAGGTCGTGGGTTCCATGCCGACCCTGACGGTGCCTGCTGTACATTTGGAGTTTGCGTGTCTCTCTCTCATCATCATCATCAGTGGCTAGGAGATGTTCACTACCTCGCCTGGTGTGCAGGAGGTCGTGGGTTCCATGCCGACCCTGACGGTGCCTGCTGTACATTTGGAGTTTGCGTGTCTCTCTCTCATCATCATCAGTGGCTAGGAGATGTTCACTACCTCGCCTGGTGTGCAGGAGGTCGTGGGTTCCATGCCGACCCTGACGGTGCCTGCTGTAAATTTGGAGTTTGCGTGTCTCTCTCTCATCATCATCATCAGTGGCTAGGAGATGTTCACTACCTCGCCTGGTGTGCAGGAGGTCGTGGGTTCCATGCCGACCCTGACGGTGCCTGCTGTACATTTGGAGTTTGCGTGTCTCTCTCTCTCATCATCATCAGTGGCTAGGAGATGTTAACTACCTCGCCTGGTGTGCAGGAGGTCGTGGGTTCCATGCCGACCCTGACGGTGCCTGCTGTACATTTGGAGTTTGCGTGTCTCTCTCTCATCATCATCATTGGCTAGGAGATGTTCACTACCTCGCCTGGTGTGCAGGAGGTCGTGGGTTCCATGCCGACCCTGACGGTGCCTGCTGTACATTTGGAGTTTGCGTGTCTCTCTCTCATCATCATCATCAGTAGCTAGGAGATGTTCACTACCTCGCCTGGTGTGCAGGAGGTCGTGGGTTCCATGCCGACCCTGACGGTGCCTGCTGTACATTTGGAGTTTGCGTGTCTCTCTCTCATCATCATCAGTGGCTAGGAGATGTTCACTACCTCGCCTGGTGTGCAGGAGGTCGTGGGTTCCATGCCGACCCTGACGGTGCCTGCTGTACATTTGGAGTTTGCGTGTCTCTCTCTCATCATCATCATCAGTGGCTAGGAGATGTTAACTACCTCGCCTGATGTGCAGGAGGTCGTTGGTTCCATGCCGACCCTGACGGTGCCTGCTGCTGTATATTTGGAGTTTGCGTGTCACTCTCTCTCATCATCATCATCATCAGTGGCTAGGAGATGTTAACTACCTCGCCTGGTGTGCAGGAGGTCGTGGGTTCGATCCCGAAACCTGACGCCTCCTATATATATGGATTTTGCGTCTTCTCTCTCTCTTACTCCGTGATCGCATGGATGTTTCTCCAGGTCCTCCAGTGTGACATTCGTTCAACATACAAACATACATACGGTGTGCCCTTAGGGTCATTGACTTTTTGCCCTATTAAAACAATACACTACCACGGTGACCTTGCAATCGTACGTATTTAAGATGCAGAGATAAAATTAAGCAAAATAATAATTGTTCTTATTTTCCACACCAGCCGGTAACCAATGAACCATTTCTAACCGACAGCTTAAAGGGCTTACTGAAAGCGATAATGAATTAGCCGTAGTCCATCTATCTGTCTGTCTCACCATCACCACATAAGACCAATGTCTCCCGTAGAGCCTAAATAGACTGTTGGGACAAGTGCTGTTAGCGAGAAGCACCATCATCACCACCACCAAGCACCCACTAACAACACCACAAACAACCAGCAGCACCTTGGCTTCGCTCACGTTTTTTGCGTGATGTGTCTGCGCGTCTGTGTGTGTGTGTGTGTTTCCGCGTGTGCAGATAACCCGAATCGCTTCGACATGACCTTCAATGTCCTCTGCAAGCAGAGATTCAGCAGCGGCACGCATTACTTTGAGGTGTGCATTCCCGTGCACAACCATCAGCGGGAGTGTTCTTCACTAATAAATTAACTGAACTGAACTAATCTTCATCAGGGGGGGTGGCGTGGGGGGGGGAGGCACTTTAGCCGGGGGTTTGACAGCAGCGCAACGATGATGGTGATGACGATGGGGAGGGGGGTCTGGTGTTGTCACTCTTCGTGTGTATGGTCCGTGGGGGCCCTGCACGTCAGGGGCCTCACTAAAGGCCACCAGTGGCCGCCAGTGGCCCGTGAGGCCTTGTAGTTAAGAACGCTGCCCTACGACGATACCGGTGAGGGCCCTCCACGTCAGGGGCCTCACTAAAGGCCACCAGTGGCCGCCAGTGGCCCGTGAGGCCTTGTAGTTAAGAACGCTGCCCTACGACGATACCGGTGAGGGCCCTCCACGTCAGGGGCCTCACTAAAGGCCACCAGTGGCCGCCAGTGGCCCGTGAGGCCTTGTAGTTAAGATCGCTGCCCTACGGCGATACCGGTGAGGGCCCTGCACGTCAGGGGCCTCACTAAAGGCCACCAGGGGCCGCCAGTGGCCCGTGAGGCCTTGTAGTTAAGATCGCTGCCCTACGGCGATACCGGTGAGGGCCCTGCACGTCAGGGGCCTCACTAAAGGCCACCAGTGGCCGCCAGTGGCCCGTGAGGCCTTGTAGTTAAGAACGCTGCCCTACGGCGATACCGGTGAGGGCCCTCCACGTCAGGGGCCTCACTAAAGGCCACCAGTGGCCGCCAGTGGCCCGTGAGGCCTTGTAGTTAAGAACGCTGCCCTACTGCGATACCGGTGAGGGCCCTCCACGTCAGGGGCCTCACTAAAGGCCACCAGGGGCCGCCAGTGGCCCGTGAGGCCTTGTAGTTAAGATCGCTGCCCTACGGCGATACCGGTGAGGGCCCTCCACGTCAGGGGCCTCACTAAAGGCCACCAGTGGCCGCCAGTGGCCCGTGAGGCCTTGTAGTTAAGATCGCTGCCCTACGGCGATACCGGTGAGGGCCCTGCACGTCAGGGGCCTCACTAAAGGCCACCAGTGGCCGCCAGTGGCCCTTGAGGCCTTGTAGTTAAGATCGCTGCCCTACGGCGATACCGGTGAGGGCCCTGCACGTCAGGGGCCTCACTAAAGGCCACCAGGGGCCGCCAGTGGCCCGTGAGGCCTTGTAGTTAAGAACGCTGCCCTACGGCGATACCGGTGAGGGCCCTCCACGTCAGGGGCCTCACTAAAGGCCACCAGTGGCCGCCAGTGGCCCGTGAGGCCTTGCAGTTAAGATCGCTGCCCTACGGCGATACCGGTGAGGGCCCTGCACGTCAGGGGCCTCACTAAAGGCCACCAGGGGCCGCCAGTGGCCCGTGAGGCCTTGTAGTTAAGATCGCTGCCCTACGGCGATACCGGCGAGGGCCCTGCACGTCAGGGGCCTCACTAAAGGCCACCAGTGGCCGCCAGTGGCCCGTGAGGCCTTGTAGTTAAGATCGCTGCCCTACGGCGATACCGGTGAGGGCCCTGCACGTCAGGGGCCTCACTAAAGGCCACCAGTGGCCGCCAGTGGCCCGTGAGGCCTTGTAGTTAAGATCGCTGCCCTACGGCGATACCGGTGAGGGCCCTGCACGTCAGGGGCCTCACTAAAGGCCACCAGTGGCCGCCAGTGGCCCTTGAGGCCTTGTAGTTAAGATCGCTGCCCTACGGCGATACCGGTTGTAATCCCTAAGTGGGGAAGCTGCTGCCGTGGCGAAACAACTCTAATTATGAACTCAACTTTACGTGATAATAGGTTTTTTCCCCTTTTTTTCTGGCAACAAAACAGCTGCGTTAAGATGATCAAACACCAAACTGAAACCTTTCACAAGGAATCATATCTGCATGAACCAAAATGCTTGTGGTCAGAATGCAAACAAAAAAACATACTCTGATAATATATGATGCATCGTCTTTGAAAGTGATTGGTCCACACCAGAGACAGCTTTCTTGTGAGCCTCGTTTCAAACGGTGTTAGACCAGAGGACGCCAAACAGCGTAGAGTATGAGAGACAAAGGCGGCCGGGCGTGGTGCTGGCCACCCACCCCCTCGTGTGCAGTGCCGGCCTTCATAGGTGCTGCTACTCGCTAACAGCACTTGCCCCGACATTCTTATAGGCGATTCGGGGGGTGGGGGATTTTTGTCTTTGTGCTGGGAGTCTATCCCTTCTCTCCGGACCCCTGTCCTCAGCACGTGTGTGCCGTGCCGTGTGTGTGTGTGGTGTATTTGTGTGGTGTGTGTGTGTACCGTGTGTGTGTGGTGTGTGTGTGTGGTGTGTGTGTGGTGTGTGGTGTATGTGTGTGCCGTGCCGTGTGTGTGCAGGTGTCTGTGCGGAACAAGGAGGCGTGGACGGTCGGAGTGGTGAGCGAAGGCTTCAAGCGGAAGGGCACGGGCCTCGACACTCTCATCGGCAAGAACCCGCACTCGTGGGCACTCGTGGCTACGCACGGGAACCTGCATGCCTGGCACAACAACAAGGTGCGGAGACGGCTGAGCGCTGTCGTGACGCCACTGCCGCTTAGTGATGAATGTGGGGGGTGGGCGAGATGTTAACTTCCTCGCCTGATGTGCTGGGAGGTTGTCGGTTCCATCCCGACCCTGACGCCTGCCGTACGTGTGGAGTTTGCGTGTGCGCCCTCCTTCGTGGTGGCGTGGATTTCTCTCCGGGTCCTACATGGAATTAGCGGTGTCCCTCTCCCTCTCTCTCTCTCACCGCGGGCGCATGGATTTTGTCTCCTGGTCGTCCGGGTTTGTTTCCCCCCTCTACATTTTGAGTCGACGTCACGCGTCCCGGGTGTTTGGCCGCGATACGTTTCCACGCGACGATAAGCCACTTCGTTGGGCGGTCACTTGTGAGGGCCAGGTCGCTTCTGAATTAATAACTACATACATTTTGATTGAAAGCTTTCGTGACTGCAGCCATTCATATTCTTGGTTCTTTCGGTAAAGTCACGTTGAAGGGAAACAATAAAAAATATATATAAAGCAATAAAATTCTCACTATTTTATTGTTTTATATATATTTTTTATTTTATTGTTTCCCTTCAACGTGACTTTACCGAAAGAACCAAGAATATGAATAACTACATAGCTCAGTGGGCCTTTCCTAGTTGAAAAAAAAAGTTATTCATAGTTTTACACTCGTTGGTTCTTTCGGTAAAGTCACGTAGAAAGAGAAAATAAAAATGTAAAAATAGCATACGACGTTTCGATTACAACACAAGCAATCATCATCAGGTACAAATGAAAGAGAAAACAAACCTAGTAAACTTAGAAATATAATGCAATACAACACAGAGAGTCGGCCAACATAACAGTCAACACCCTACCTGGTTGATTACGTTCTTCCAAATATTGCTACATTTTTAAGAGAGAGACAAAACACAGAACCGGAGACACATAGACAGACACACAAGCAGAGAGAGAGATAACACAGAGACACAGAGAGAGAGACACACACATAGGTACACAGAGAAACAACGCCTCTGTGTCGAGGCCTTAAATAGAGAAGGGGGCAGAGAGATGGGGGGGGGGTAGAGAAATTAGCATGTCAATGAGAGACCTGGCAAGAACGCAGGAAACTAAAAAAAACGAGGGGAGACAGACAGAGAGAAACCACACTAAATCAAACAAACTTAGTAAAATTTGGAAATGTAACGCAATGCAACACAGACAGTCGGTTAACACAAAATTAACGCATGGCCTGGTTGATTACGTTCTTCCAAAGATTGCCAAATTAGAAGTTAAGTATGCAATTTGAGAGAGTGACAAGGCACAGACACATAGTTTTGTGCATGCATGTGTAGCTCCAGTCCATTTATTTCCACCTCCTCCGTCGCACACGCCGCTCCATCATTAGCCCACAGCTCTTTCCTCTTCATCCACAGCTCTCTCCTCCCCCTTCGCTCCTGACGACGTCCCCTCTTACTTGCACGCCCCCCGCCGCCCTTTCTCCCATTCCCTCCCCCTCCACTCATCCCTGTCTCCTCATTCCCAGCCACCAATTCCCTGTCTCCCGCACCTCAGACCATGCCTCATCATCTCCAGCCACCAATCGCCTCTCTCCATACCTCAACTCGGTGCAGGGATTGACGTCAGCGTGTCGGAGGGTAGGGAACGCCGATGTTGCGAGGACCGTTACACGCGCATGCTTGCACGTGTGTGTGTGTATGCACGTGTGTGTGTATGCACGTGTGTGCATGCACGTGTGTGGGGGGCGGTAGTGTAGCGGTTAGCGCGCTACGTTACGAACCTGGTGACCCGGGTTCGATTCCCACTCACGGCCAACACCAGTGACGATTATCTGAACCGGTCCTCGGCCTCCCCTAGGTCGACTCAGCCTCAAATGAGTACCTGGTGCGGTGTGTAAACATCGTCACTGGGGAGACAAAGGCGGCCGGGCGTGGTATTGGCCACCCACCCCCCCGTGTGCCGTGCCGGCCTTTATAGGTGCTCGCTAACAGCGCTTGCCCCTACAGTCTGTTACAGGCTACACACACGGGGGATCTTTGTGTGTATGCACGTGAACTCCACGTTGCTGTGGCGAGGCCGCGGCTGTTTCGAGGAGACGACAGAGGCCGCTTGCTTTTCCAGGGGGGGGGGGGGGTTAGGGTGAACTGCGCTCAAGAGGAGTTGACGCTTAATCGGAAGAGAACAAAAAATAACACTGCGACTGACTTGACCCGCGCGTGCGTGCAGGCCGAACAGCTGAAAGACTGCAAGCGTTTCGAACGGCTGGGCATCCTTCTGCGGTACGACAATGGGCAGCTGTCGTTCTACAACGCCGACACCAACCTGGCGCTCTACACGTTCAACGCCGCCTTCTCCGGAGCCCTGACCGTCGCGCTCAACACCCGCGGCGTTGTGCGGGGGAAGAACACGCAGCCGCTGTCGCTGTGTCCGCTGCGCTTGGAGGTGAGCGGCTCGGCCCCTCGCTTGGCCACGCACGTGCACGCGCAGACGGGGCCCCCATTGGTGCTTTATGTAACCAAAGAAACCCCCACCAGTTCCTGAGGAACTGCACTGTGATGTTGTACCGAAGGTCACCATGGAATTGTACTTCGGGCTACTGACAGGAGGCGGGGATGCAGCGATAGATAGACGAGTGTGGATGCATTTCGTCATTATTGGGACTCATCGGCATGGTGTAAGTCACCGATTCTCACTGCTTCCACTGTATGCCCAAATATGTGGAGTGGCCGCATCCGCACTGTGGGGCAATAAGCATGGCTCATGCCGCCAATCGCCACATCTGCAAATGAATATAAAAACCCATCGGCAGACGTGCCGCTGATGGAAATTTTTACGTCGTCAATCAAGAAGCGGGATGGAGCCGTGGTGCAGTGGTTAGGCTACGTGGGCTGAGTTCGATTCCCGGCCACGACTAGCGTGAGTGATGAGCGATGTCTGATCCGAGTCACTGACATTGGATCAGCTTTAGATAATTACAGTAATCCCCCCGCCACAGAAGGACAGACAGACAACCAGACGGACAACCGCACGAATAACCAGACGGAAAAAACAGACAAACAGACGGACAAGAGCACATGGATTTTAAAGGTTTCAACCTTTGTTGGAAAGCAGCAGAGCCCCACGGGAACACAAATGAAAGCATTCCCGTTTGGATGAATTAGTCGTGCCAACATCCCCGGTCTCGTGACAACGCAGTGTCTCCTTGGAGGTCGTGGTTTGGTGCTGAGCAAGCCGAAGCGCCCTGCGGTATTGATTGAGCCGCTCGGCACGGGGTGGTGGGTTTGGGAGATGGAGGAGTCGGGAGGAGGCTTTGGGAGGCATTTGGACAACGATCCTATAAATCTCTCAGTGCTGGACACCCTCGAGCAACGAAAAATGCGTTTCATATTAAATTCGAGATCGACGAGCGGGCTGCTTGGCGAGCCGAACGCGTCGTCGGTTAAACACCGTCGCGCGTGACGCATGCCTTTGTTTTTCGCTCTCACCAATATTGGGGTTTCTTTCGAACGCTTTCCAAGCGAGAGTAAAACGAATCTCCATAATCTATCATTTGTAACGCGCACAGCTTCCATTCGCTCTCGGAGAGAGAGAGAGAGAAATCAAAGCATTGAAAACAAAAATGATGAACGGAGCAAAGTGCCGACTACACCGAGCACCTTCTTGTTTCCTCTGATCGTAAAAAAAAGAGAGAGAGAGATACCGAATGAATCGGTGACGAGGGAAACCGCAGACGATTTGCCAAGCTCTGTGGTCCTACATTGGGATGTTTGGCCAATTCCATTAAGGAGTGGTGGAAACGTGAACGAAAATCTTAAGTACTACGTGAGAGAGGGAGGGATGGGGGATTTTGGGGGGGGGGGGAGTACCCACATTTTACACCACCACATGCAAGCAACCTGACAATCTGGTGTAGAAATTTAAACAACTCGGGAGGATAGAGAGGATGGGGGGAGGGGGCTGTGGGGTAGTGGGGGAAGGGGCATTTTAAGAAACGTAAACCGGTATTTCAATTTCCGTGCCGCAATGTTGAACTGACAGATTTACTCGCTGTACTGCCATGTAACGTTGAGCGTATATACAGGGTCCTTCAAAAAAACGTTAACACTTCGGAGAATTTGCAACAACGCCACGTGACACGTGCCGCTGCCTCCGGGCTCTGGAGACCACCTGGAGAAGATTCCAGGCCACGTGTTGACAACGATGGCGAACAAAGTGGAGACTCTTCGACTATTAACATTACATTTGTAACCATGTTACAGTGTACAATTATCAGGTTATTTGTCCATTAAAAACGATAGTCCTATATAAGTGTTACAAAAGAGTAGCACCCTGTGTGTGTGTATATATATTTGTCTAGGCATCCAGAGGTTTGGGGGGGACCGTTTGTACCCGCTGTGACCGCGCTCGGTCGCTTTCGTCTCTCTCTCTCTATAAATCAGTCGGTGGCTCTCTCTCTCTCTCTCTCTTCCGTGCCCCACGCCGTCACCGCGCAGATGGAACGCAACGACTCCGGCCGGGGCGACGATGCCCTGAGCGTCGGCTCGGGCCGCGAGCACCACCGCCCGAGGACACTGACGAACGTCATCGGCGACCACTTCCGGGCGGCCCTGTCCTCGCCGCGCTCCGCGCCGGCCTCCCGCGCGTCCACGCCGGACCACTCGCGGGCCTCCCCGACGGACGCGCGCGAGTCGAGCATCCACCTCTGGCTGGGCAAGCAAGCGGCCATGCTCCACAAGGCCGGCCCGTCGTCCGGCTCGCCCGGCGCCGGCGTCGTCCGCGCCGGCGGCGGCGGCGGCGGCGGCGGCGGCGGCGCCGGCGGCACCGGCTGGGACCCGCAGCGAGCGTCGTGCACCTCCTCCTCCTACTCGTCGTGGTCCAGCGAGGTGACGGAGCCCCCGTACGAGGAGTCGTCCTCCGACGACGCCATTTCCGTCGACTCGAGGGTCAGCACGTCGACGCGGGCTTCCTGGTCCGTGTCGGAGATTTTGGCGGCGGCGGCGGCGGCGGCGGCGGCGCCGGAGACTCCCAGCGCTAACGGCCTGCGAGCGGCACGGGCGCTGTCGAGCCTCGACGTGAGACGGATCAACGAGGTCGGCAGAGGCGGGGGCGGGGAGGGGGGCGGCCCACTTCGGATAAAGGCCCTGGACAAGGTCCGCAACGCGCTGCAGCCCAGGCTGAAGTCGGGCCCGGCGAGCAACAGCTACGTGGTGAAATGAGGCCCGGCCGCCGACGCGGCGGGGGCCAGAGCGTCCACCTAAGGCAGCCGTGCGAAGACGATTCAGTCGTTGGGAGGACCGTCGTGGTGGGGGGGGGGGGCGCCCTCTGCCCGCTCGAGGTTGGCAGGCCGCGGTGTGAGGCGAGCGTATGTTTGGCTCGTCGACGGAGGGAGAGAGTCGTAGACGTAGGCCAAAAATGTCCCGAGGTGGCAGGATGGGCCGGCAAATTGAGTCTCGAGGCTCAATGAGGATAGCACCTCGACGGGCAAAGGAATTGGCCAGATCTACGAAGGTAGCAGGGTGAGGCCGGTTAGACTTTACTAGATAGAAATATGACATTTATTATTATTACTACCACTATTTATGAATGTAATTAGTACTTGGCAACGGTTGTGTTTTAGAAAGCACTGGGGCCTCGTTGTGGAACGTGAAATTTTCGTCGCTGGATTAGGTGCCGCCATATTGCTCGCGGTGAGCGGGGGAGAAGCTTCCGGCTGGACTCACAAGTTGACGGAACGGCCACAATCCTGGACCTCGGAGAGCGCTGCATCGTTGTTGGCTGAGCACGAGCCCCAGTGGTTCTATCCCAGCGGGCCGCCCCGGCGAACACTGCGGGGTGTATTAGCCAATCACAATGCGCTGTCGTCCTTTGCACGGTGGCTGTTTGTATCACGTGGGCCGCGGCGGTTCACTCTAAAACGGAGTAGGTCACGGTCCAAATATTGCCAATTCCTTTTTTTGTGGTAGGCACACAAGTCCGGTGCAATGCGTCCAATTTTGCCACTTTTTTTAAGACTACCCGCAAAGTGCTTAGTTCGGTGAAAATCCCAAAGCCACAATCGCTCCCCTACTGGCAGACTGAAACACAGCCACATCACCTTCACGACGCCCCTTTGCATGATGGGAACGGTGCGAATACCAGACGCACTAAGAGGGCTCTGTTGCGACGATTATGTTTTCGCTGGTATCGGAGACACCGCTACGGTTTTGAGGAATACAATTTTGAATCAGAATATTTGGTTATACTGGAGGAATCCGATGAGCGAAAAAGCTCTAGTTTACAGGTATCCAGTAGGGGTGGGTAAAAAACGTCACAACAGCTAACAGTACAAAAACACGACGGTCGTGCAAAGTACAAGAAAGGAAAACAAATCACCAAAACACAAACAAATACAACAACTAAATCATCCCCATCCTACCAGGCAAAGCCCACTGAGGTATTAACTAACTGTATTTGTCAGAAGCGACCTGGCCACAAATGATAGCTCAACAAAGTGGCTTAACATTTGGCGTCAGCGAGCCTCCTCAAACTCTAAATCACGAGCCAGCGGTGGAAATGCCTCGTTCCCACTGTGCGAATGTCGAATCAAAGTTGCTGCTTCAGCCAACGCTAGTTGTAAGTAGCCAACTACCGCGTGAGTTTTTTTTCCGCCTCTGAAAAAAATTGGTTGTTCGGCCCGATGTCCGACGTTCCGCTCTACGCGCTGGGAATCTGCTTGCAGGAAAAGCAGCTCCTTCGTTCTGTCAACTCCGTCGGCATTTTCAGCTTCCTGAAGAAGCTCCCAGCGCATAGCGCGAAGCGTTCGGACTCCGTGCCGACCAACGCGCGGCACCCCGAGAGAACGCGCCAGGGAGCTGTGCGGAGCGTACGTTACGTGTTTGTTTGTTCGGATTTACACTGCACTATTTGTGAATGCTCTTGCTTCCTGAGCAACATTGTAAGGGGCCAGTGAAACATGGTTATTTCTTAAAATGTACAGCCTGTTCTCCTATAACGCGGTAGTAGTTGCATTCCTGAAGAACACGGGGAAATCTCGTTGTCATAATATACAACGTAGGAGTAAAGCACAGTCCGCGATAACACGTGAGGTGCGTACGCAGGCTGAACAAAGACCGAGGTGGGTGAGTAGCATCCAAGAGCATCCAGCAGCATCCCGCTTTGTGTAATGCTATGCCGAGGCAGCTGGACGACCACACTATTCCTACTCGCGCGACGTAGTTCCGTTCACTCGATCACGTTATATCCACTTCGCCAACGCGTTTTCAAACGAAATCCCGAATACATTCATATAATTGCATCAGATTCGCGTTATGAAAACCACACGCGCTATAGGAGAACAGACTATATAAGAGCACATTGCTTTCTTAAAGATGAATCTTTAATATTTACACTTCAAATATACTATGCTGACGTTACGGTTCTCAACTCACGTCAGTTACTTTCACCATCAGCAGCAGCAGTCATGTCTAATATGAACTGGACATCTGTGAAAAAGAGCTTCATAGCTCATCGGATTCCTTTAGTCTAAATAAAGATTGCGATTCTGAAATTACGAAGGTAGTCACGGCAACGTGTGATTATCTTTTCCTTACAACCCTGGGTCGTCATAATAATGACAGGATACAAAAAAAATCCGAAAAGATAATCGGAATCTATATTCACCCCGGGAGTAATCCGACCGGCTAGGAATCTCTTTACCCACAATATTAACTGCGAATAAAAGTCAGTGATCTTGGGCAGTATAATTCCGCTTGTGGGTGTGTGGGTGGGGGGGGGGACGGTTCGCTATTGCTCTCGACGACTCGCTTGTGAAGTAGAGACCAAACGAGTGTGACCCCCCCGGCCCCCCCCCCCCCGGTACGCGTGCCAGGCCGTAGCCTCGACTGATTCCGGAGGGAGGGAGGGGGGGGCAGCTTCAATCGCTCGCTGTGACATTCACGGAGAGGGCCGTCGCGTCGTCGTCGCAGGGATTCTGTGGCGACGAGCAATCAAAAACGAAGATCGCCCGGAACCGTCGAGGGTCAAAACGCGAAGTCAATTTCAGTTTCCACAGCTGCGGGGCCCACACCCCCGTGGCCTTTTGACGACAGGAGATCAAACGGAGGTGTTTTTGATCCGTCCAATTATGTTTCTTGATATATATTTTTTTGTGTTACTTACCAAAGTCAGCGCGTGCACTATTTATCAAAGCGCTGAATTAAAATGTTGCAATGTATATGCGTCGCACAATGTAGTTTTACCGTCGCATAGATATATAGATGGTCTTCATTTGTTCAGCAAGCTTGCTGTGCATGACTAATGATGATTCTAAACTATTAAACGGTGTTAAGGTTAAGGCCCACTGAGCTATTATCGCTTTTCCAGAGGCCTCATACCCACACGTGACAGCTGATCAGAGTAGCGTGTACCGTCATCATCGTCATCATCACACGTGTGACTATAGAGCAGCAGACAGATGATGTCTGGACGTGGAGGGCAAGAGCGGAGAAACCCGGAGAAGAATCCACGTGGCCACCACGGGAAGAGAGAGAACACACCGACTCCAAATAAACAACGGGGTCCGGGATCGAACCCGTGCACTCCTGCACGCGTTCCAGGCGAGACGTCGACTTCTTGTCAGCTGGCTGCTGACCAAAGGGATTATTTGACCATTCTTGACGACGCTGGTCAGTGTGGGTGTTGGTAAAGGATGTAGGGGGCTGATGGGTGCGGGGGGAGGTTGGGGCGTAACTCACCATCAGATCACTCGCCTTTGAAGTAAAAGTGCAAATATGTGAACAAATGTGCCACCACTCCCTCGGTTTAACCTCGAAGCTATTTTAATCACCGCGAGATGATGGCGATGATGGCGGTAGTGGTGATGGTGATGAGGATAGGCTTGCTATGTTAGTCTGCGATTGTATTCAAACGAAACGTTCTCACAAACTTGAATCTTGTATCATATTTACTGTTAATATATCATTTTGTCAGCAAATTATTTCTCCCGTGTGATCTCATAATTAGTTGGGCGGGGGGCTTGACTGCAGCCATGGGGAATCCTGGCTGTAGTCAAGTCATGGGGACTCCTGGCTGGAGTCAAGTCATGATGACTCCTGGCTGTAGTCAAGTCATGGGGCCTCCTGGCTGGAGTCAAGCCATGGGACTCCTGGCTGGAGTCAAGTCATGATGACTCCTGGCTGGAGTCAAGTCATGATGACTCCTGGCTGGAGTCAAGTCATGATGACTCCTGGAGTCAAGTCATGATGACTCCTGGCTGGAGTCAAGCCATGGGACTCCTGGCTGGAGTCAAGTCATGGGACTCCTGGCTGGAGTCAAGTCATGATGACTCCTGGCTGGAGTCAAGTCATGATGACTCCTGGCTGGAGTCAAGCCATGATGATTCCTGGCTGGAGTCAAGTTATGATGACTCCTGGCTGGAGTCAAGCCATGGGGACTCCTGGCTGGAGTCAAGTCATGATGACTCCTGGCTGGAGTCAAGTCATGGGACTCCTGGCTGGAGTCAAGTCATGATGACTCCTGGCTGGAGTCAAGCCATGGGACTCCTGGCTGGAGTCAAGTCATGATGACTCCTGGCTGGAGTCAAATTATGGGGACTCCTGACTGGAGTCAAGTCATGGGACTCCTGGCTGGAGTCAAGTCATGATGACTCCTGGCTGGAGTCAAGCCATGATGACTCCTGGCTGGAGTCAAGTCATGGGGACTCCTGGCTGGAGTCAAGCCATGGGGACTCCTGGCTGGAGTCAAGCCATGGGGACTCCTGGCTGGAGTCAAGCCATGGGGCCTCCTGGCTGTAGTCAAGTCATGGGACTCCTGGCTGTAGTCAAGTTATGATGACTCCTGGCTGGAGTCAAGTCATGATGACTCCTGGCTGGAGTCAAGTTATGATGACTCCTGGCTGTAGTCAAGTTATGATGACTCCTGGAGTCAAGTCATGATGACTCCTGGAGTCAAGTCATGGGACTCCTGGCTGGAGTCAAGTCATGGGACTCCTGGCTGGAGTCAAGTCATGATGACTCATGGCTGTAGTCAAGTTATGATGACTCCTGGAGTCAAGTCATGATGACTCCTGGCTGGAGTCAAGCCATGGGACTCCTGGCTGGAGTCAAGTCATGGGACTCCTGGTTGGAGTCAAGTCATGATGACTCCTGGCTGGAGTCAAGTCATGATGACTCCTGGCTGGAGTCAAGCCATGGGGACTCCTGGCTGTAGTCAAGTCATG